GGCGACAGGGAGAGGAGCGGGGTGAGCAATCCCACCTCCCCCTAAGGCTCCTGGGTCTGAATGAGAACTCCAGTGGTCACACCAGAGTGGGCTCTGGTGCCCCTGAGGGCCACTGAGGCAGCCCAGCAAGAAACAGGTTGTTGCCCAAGAAGCTGGGGGCAGCTCAGCTCCCCTGGCAGGGCTCCAGAGGGACTGGGCCAGGCACCAGGGGAGCTGTGGGTCTCTTTCCGTTTCCAAGTCCACGAGGAGGGCCCTGGGCAGCAGGCTCCTCCTTGTACTCTGAGAGTTTTCCGCAGGGGCTGAGGCAGGGAGAAGCAGGGGCAGGGGAGGGCACCCCGGGCTCACACACCCTGGGCCTCATACGCTCTTCTCACCCTCACTCTGTTCCTTGGCAGGAGGGGTCTTATCCTGGCTGCCATCCGGGGGTGCCGGCTTGGCGGCGGGACTCGGGCTGCCGCTGCTGGACGGCAGGAGGTTGGCGGATTGCAGGACGGCTTCCGAGTGCTCGCGGGCCTTCATGCGCAGGGCGGCCACACTGGCGGTGCGGTTACTCTGGCAGCCGTAGGTGGGGAGGAAGGACAAGCCCATGGGGTCCGGGACGCAGCAAGAGCATAGTGGGCTCCCTGGAAAGAAAAACAGCAGGCTCCAGCACCGTCCACAGACTCTCTCTCGAGCTGGGCGTGGGGAGAGGAGGGTCTGGGGACCTGAAGGATGGACAGATTTATTCTGGTAGGTTCCAGACACTAATGGGAGAGGTAAGAAGTGTCTGAGACCCCAAAGACGCATAACCCAAGAGATGCAGTTGATAATCCCTGGAATATCTGGGCGTCGGGGCTTGGCCTGGCTTCCTCATTAATAGCTGTGTGGCCTTGGGCCAATTCCTTGGATTCTCCAAGCCTCACCTTCTGCTTCTGTAAAATGGGATAATACCTACTTCACGGGATCATTATGAGGATTCGATGAAGTAATCCCACACTCCCCAAACCATGTGCCAAGGCACCCCTAAAAACTCACTGTGGGAATATTTTACATTTTCAAACCACCATGCCGTACAAACTACTAGCTTAAGAGCATTCACAACTTCAGCATTAGATCACACGGCATTCCTTCAACCATGTTACAGCTCTGTGAAGCTAGGTTTTGCTAGACTCTGCCAGCACCACACAGAAATTCACATGGTACATAAAATGAGGGCATTGGTGTCCAAGAGAATTCCAAGGCTAGAGAAGGCACACAGAGCCCATCAGGCACACATATCCCCTCAGAAAGCAGGATTATTTAACAAAGAAATAAAAATACTCTTTTTCTTTCAATGTGTAAATTTTATTTGTTTCAAACGGCTGCTAAGCTGTTGGGACATAAATGCTGACTGAGCTGTTTGGACTCAACTATTCAATGAACAAAATGACTGGGTATTTCTCATGGCCTAAGGGTGTCTCGAGGAGTCCTTGGGTGCAGCAAATGGTTACCGCAGTAGTCAAAAAGCTGGAGATTCGAGTCTACCCAGAGGTGCCTTGGAAGGGAGGCCTGGGGATCTACTTGTGAAAAATCAGCCATGAATATGCCATGGATCACAGATCTACTCTGACACTTACAGGGTGGCTAGCGTCGACTGGACAGCAACTGGGAGGGGAGTCATGGAAGGTAACTGATCTCCTGCAGACACCAGGAATGGAGAAGGTTGAGAACCTCTGAAAGGACCAGTTTGGAAAGCACTGTGCACAAG